CCCCCCCCCCCCCAAAGCCATGCGAAATAAATAAAAAGTGGAGCGAGTGTGTCGCGCAATTCAGTTTTTGGCCTCTCATGTGAGAAAATATTTCAACGAAACAGCGAGGAGAATGAAGTCAGTGAACGAGAAACTCGCTGTGCGACAAGTACGACGGCAGCATCGCGCTCGCAAACGTCCAACTTGCAAGACGGATGAGATCAGTTAAACCAAACTGCCTTCGTGACAAATCCTCCGCTTCCTCTCTCGCAAAAGCCTTCACGCGTTCATCTCTCTCGGTCTTTCTCACTATTGAGGAGAGACCCGAGGGGGAGACAGAGTCACTTGGCTTGAGTGCAAGTGCGTGACAGACTTTGTACTTTTTATCCAGGAGTTTTTTTTCTACTCGCAATCCTCTCTCTCTCTCTCTCTCTCTCTCTCTCTCTCTCTCTCTCTCTCTCTCTCTCTCTCTGCGCGGGCCAATTTGAGATGATGATTTTTATTCGGAGACTGGGGGAACAAATTGGAGTTTAGCTAAATTCATTCATTTACTCGAATACTTTTCTATTCGAGTGGTCTATCTGCACTCGTTTGAATAGCTAATTATAATCGGGATTTAACGAGTGGAGGTGATTGTTATCCGCATTTTACATGCAAATCTTTGATTGGGAGAATTAATACTACGATGGAACTGATGATATTTTCTGCAATGTTTTTATGAGAATTTATTAGCGAAAATATATGTCGACTGTATTTTGACGACAGCAATTTTTTAAATTGTTTATGAAGAAATTATCTCTCTATACTGTAAAAATCCAAATCGACTTGTGGTGTTGAAAAATTGGGTTTTGAAATTAAGACTCGAGAATTAAGGGTCAGAAAAAAAAGATCAGAAACTAAGGGTCACAAGGGCCAAAATAAGGGTCACGGGGGTTATAATGAGGGTTGTAAGGGTCAGAATAAGGGTCTAAATAAAGGTCATGGTCAAAATGAGGGTCATGGGGTTCAAATGGATCACAAGGGTCAGATTAAGGGTTAAAAGGGTCCGAATAAGGGTCTAAATAAAGGTTCTGGTCCAAATAAGGGCCTTGAAGGCTAAAATAAGGGTCTAAATAAGAGTAATGAGGGTCAAAATGAGGATCAGAATCAAGCTAAATAAAGATTATGGTCAAAATAAGGGTCACAAGGGTCCGAATAAGAGCCTAAATAAAGATTCTGGTCCAAATAAGGGCCATGGAGGTCAAAATAAGGCTCTAAATAAGGGTAATTAGGCTGAAAATAAGGATCAGAATCAAGCTAAATAAAGGTTATGGTCAAAATAAGGGTCACAAGGGTCAGATTAAGGGTTACAAGGCACCGAATAAGGGTCTAAATAAAGATTCTGGTCAAAATAAGGGCCATGGAAGTCAGAATAAGGGTTTAAATAAGGGTAATGAGGCTCAAAATAAGGGTCAGAATCAGGGCCATGAGGGACCAAATAAGGGTCAGAATAGGGGTCTAAATAAGGGTCATGTGGGTCAAAATAAGACGCAGAATAAGGTTCATGGAGGTCATATGGGGGTTAGCGGGCGGAGCGAGCAGGGGGCGTAGCTCCCTAGTTGAATAAAAAAATAAATATTAAAAATATAAACCGTCAATTTTCTTCATTACTTTTATCATAAACAATTTGCAAACTTTAACTTCGAATTTAGACATAATTCGACATAAATAATTGAATGAAAGCCGAAAAAATGCATACGGAAGTGTAAACGAAATAAATAAACACATTGTTCCCCCCCCCAGACTAAAATAAAAGCGCTAATTGCTTTAATTCGCCGAGTAAATTGCCCCGTGGAATTGTGGCTTCCTTCCTGCACTGGCGCTGACACTAAATTTATTCACGTATGTACAAGCCACAGAACTCGTTCATCTTCAAACAATTCTCCATACTGAAATCTCGGTGAAATCAAATCACTCGGCAGTTTAATTACGAATTACGTGCTCGGTGCGGGGCGCGTAGATTTATCGCCCGAGGTGATTGGAAGGGGAAAAGGGCGGGTTAGACACGAGATATGTACTTCCAATCAGCGTGGGCGAGGATTTAAAACCCGAGTGGATGAGGATGAATCAAATAAAATAATTTCTTTTTGGCTTTTGGATCGCGCGAGATCTCTCGCCCACGTCATGCATAATCGGCGAGTTTTCGATTCGCCAATTCTCTCATTAAATTGACAATTACACGCCTGTTTCAGATATTATGATTGAAGAAATAAAGATAAATTGCGGGAGACGGAGAGATAATCGAGAGTGATTTTCGACGATTTTTAATAACAATTCGTAATTAATCGATTGATTGAAAGGAATTTTAATGCAAATAATTTATATTGCATCAGCGTCATTCAAATTTCATTTTGCAAATAATTTTTTTTGGAAACATTCCCTTATTGTAAATAAATAATAATGATTGTTTAAACATTTGAATTTTTTATGAATCAATTTAATTTCATATGAATAATTATTTATGAATGTTCTCCATTAGTTTATAATTCATTAGCTGAATTTTAAAACGTTTTCCAACAGTTTAAAAGGAAGATGAAAATTCAAAATTTCATGACAGAATAATAAAGATTTTTTAAACATTTAAAAGATGTCTCTTTTCTTCATAAAATCGAATTTTGCGAAATTTTCAAAATGCAGAAAAATTGTTATGATGTTGAAAACATTATTTTTGGAATATACCGTTAATTTACTCATGAATCAGGTCGATTTTAGATGAATAATTATTATTAATCTTTTGCAAAATTTTCAAAATCTTTCCCAACAGTGCAAAATGAAGAATTAAATTCAAAACTTCAACGTTTGAATAATAAAATCGAACGGAAAAAAATGACAGATGAATGACAATTTTGATTTCAATAATTGCATTCGATCAATTAAATCCATCATTCCCCCCAAATTAAATTTTCAAAATTTTCCCCAACAGTTCAAAATGAAGAATTAAATTCAAAACTTCAACGTTTGAATAATAAAATCGATCGGAAAAAAATGACAGATGAATGACAATTTTGATTTCAATAATTGCATTCGATCAATTAAATCCATCATTCCCCCCAAATTAAATTTTCAAAATTTTCCCCAACAGTTCAAAATGAAGAATTAAATTCAAAACTTCAACGTTTGAATAATAAAATCGATCGGAAAAAAATGACAGATGAATGACAATTTTGATTTCAATAATTGCATTCGATCAATTAAATCCATCATTCCCCCCAAATTAAATTTTCAAAATTTTCCCCAACAGTTCAAAATGAAGAATTAAATTCAAAACTTCAACGTTTGAATAATAAAATCGATCGGAAAAAAATGACAGATGAATGACAATTTTGATTTCAATAATTGCATTCGATCAATTAAATCCATCATTCCCCCCAAATTAAATTTTCAAAATTTTCCCCAACAGTTCAAAATGAAGAATTAAATTCAAAACTTCAACGTTTGAATAATAAAATCGATCGGAAAAAAATGACAGATGAATAATAATTTTGATTTCAATAATTGCATTCGATTAATTAAATCCATCATTTCCCTCGACTTCATGAATATCTGTGGGATACAGACTTAACCGTGAAGATCGGCACGCGCTCCGCCATTGCGTCTTCACAACCTCAGTTTTATATATACGTAGCCAGTGTTGACCCCCGCGGGTAGAGCATCCTTCCCAAGAGAACCGGTCGCAGGGTCGAGACGAGAGAAAACGGTAGTCATAATTCACTGGTGCTCGCGGTGGTTTGAGACCGATCTCGTGTTTAATAGTATTTGTATGTAACACACTGAGGTTAGGCTATGTTTAAATTTAAGCTTTTTTGTTTCTGCGTACGGACAGGAAACCGATCAGACTCGATGGAAAAACTGGATGATGCTACTTTCATTCTATTCCTATTTTCTCGTCTTTTGTATTTTGCCTCGCGGAGTAATCGGATGCCATGTGTTTGTACAATTGAAACTTGTATGGCAGAAATTATTGGGAAATGAAAAAAAAAGGCGAAGAGTTGGGTTTTGTGAGTATGTGTTTCTTTGTTGGGAGAATTTAATGAAAGAGCAGGTTTGAGGGGAATAATATACTATTGATGAATTACTATGCGTAACTATTGATACTTTAAATACTTTTCGTCGTTGAAAA